AAGGAAAAAACAGCAATTGTAAAACAAACTTGCTGCCTTCTGGGAGGATAATTCTGACTTTTATATTTTCAATGACTGCGTTATCAAACAGGTGGTCCATAAACCGCATTTTAAGAGCAAATGAACTGCCGCTAGAGTAGAGGTATTGGTAGCCTGGCAAATTATATCCAAGAACATAATTTGTTCGCCAACCGCCAAATAAAGGGAACCGAGGTTGAATCATGATTTCCACAGCATCTGCCAGTTTTTTGACTGCCGAGGTTGAAATGTTTCCAATCTCATCTCGGTAGTAAATATCCTTTGCAGTTACTGGCAGAAGCGTCTGTAATGAAGAAAATCTAGTATTTACCCTTAATCAGTTCTCGCTTACCTTATACTGAGTCACTACAGGCCTTCGTGATCCACGCCGATCCAACTGAAAATCTAGCCGAGAGAAAGGACCCTTCAAAACAACCGTTTTAACGTTTAGAAGGTAAAGATCCAAGAAAGCAAAAGCTAAAGCTGCAAAAGCCCTATTTTCTCCAATAAAACATTCAATCTCACTGAACATACTACTGCTTGGAAACGATGTGCTTTGGTGAAAATAATTACAGAAGAAGACTTATCTAAAAATATCACCTTTAACTGCGCTCCTTTGTGAACGAGACTGATCTGCTCTTCAACTGCAATATTGCCCCAGTGCGAAACCTCAATGTGTCGTAAAACTTCTGTCGCAACCAAAAACGGAGAATTATTTTCATTATGTATCCTGACTGGCCCCTAAAACAATAAACTAATTCAAGAAACCAAATCCAATTCGGAAAACAATATAGAACTACAACTATGTAGGAACCAACAAGTTATAAGAAAGTGTTATCCCCCTCAAAAATGGTACAATAATTGGAATTTCTTACAACTATTAGAAATTTTTACCAGTGTAAAAGGTTTCTGATCTGTATAGGGTCCATAAGTGATTTTGCCGCCTTCTTGCTTTGTTGGGGATACTGTAGTATGAGAAACCAATCTCCCTGAAGGTAAGGCGACCTTTGTGGTTTCCTTACTCAATGGGTAAACTGAAGTAACATGGGCGTTTCCCTTATAAACCATATACCTGAAATTTAGCTTCTTCAACTGAATTCCTTACTGGCTATCCTATTAGGCACAGAAGGAAACATTAAAGTTATTTATCAGAAAAAAAAAACAAACTGGGTTTCAGCTTGTTCAATCTTTGCTGGATAGGGCTCCAAATACTGGGTGAGGTAATATTCAAGTGTAATAGAGGCTTTAGAATTAGCAGAGATCGGCTTTAATAATTCAACCTAAAATATTTTTAAATTTACATATAAGATATTAGATACTTGGTTTTCCTTCTAAACTCTTCTAAGTGCTTCTCAATTGCCAAAAATGTAAATTATATTTTTGTTCTACATTGAAAACTTACCCTATAAGGCACATAACCTTTGATGACACCAGCAGCAGTTGCTGCTTTTACGACGGTCAACTTGTTACCTCCTCTACCCTCTTGTGCGGTGATGAATGCAAGATGGGCTTCCTCGTCATCACTCACTACGTGGATAAAACTATTAATTGGTGACTTCCCTTTGTTAGTCACTTCAAACGCTGTAGTAATTTTTATAACCTAAATAGTAAGACAAAAATATTCTCCCAAAAAGCTAAAATGACGCAATTTTTACATTTACAGCTGTCTATTATCAACTGCAAATTCGTGAAACCAAGTATACACATTACGCTAAAGACAGGTAGCTTTATGCGATAAAACATTCAATTAAGTAGTCTGACCTGCGATGCGATATCGATATTTCTATCAGCTTCAACAGATACATCATTTGGAGAAGGGTCTGCAGAAAAACAGCCAGATGTCAAGAAGAAAAGAGCGACACAAGGAAACCATATCATCGCACCCTGAGAAAAAATTATAAAAGTTAATCATTGAAAAGCAAATAATTCTTTAGAAATTCCTCGCTTGTTACTGGTACTAAAAGTTCGCTGTTCACAAAGAGATACCAAAAGACTACTGAAAATCTTTGCTTATTCATTTTCGAAAGCTTTCAGCTAAAGATGAAATCAAGGGGTGTAATTTACCAAAATTATCTCAATGTTCCTAAAAATCAAAGCTGAATTTAAAAAAAGAGAGATGACAACAAAAAATGCAGCAACGCAGTAGACAATAATGGATAACTACAATAAATGACAGAACCAGATACAAAATGAAATGTTTCAAACAGAAAGACAACACTGAACTGTGTATATATGTCACAAGCTTGCCAATGCGGCGGATTTCAAAAGCAAAAAAAAAAATTATGCCTGTCAACTTCCGGATTAAGCAAAAAAGTTATTTCCTATACTGTAATGACACGTCCGTTCAGTAACGGGCCAAAAAGTATAAGTAAATCAAATGCCTGATACAGGTTCTTTTTCAAGACCCTTTTTTTTGTCGGATGCTGCCAGCCGCTAAAATTAACAGCTAAAAATTCACAGACATTTCTCTGAATTATAAATGCTCGAAATGTTTGTTTCAAATTCAGTTTCGAACTAACACTTCTAATTTACAAAAATAAGTGCTTTTCTCACCACTGCGATTCAAATACACTTCATAATTTTTCACGACCTATCCTCCATTTTGATGAGCAGAGTACGTATGTCTCTTGTCTAGTAACGCTGCGGTAGTGAATTCGGCTATGGAATGGTATGGAATTGTTGCAGATGGAAAAGGTTATAGAAAAGCACAAAACACAACTGCTAACAGATGCGGAACCTCTGTAACCGCCGCTCATTTGCATTTTCTGTTCAACACCGCTTACATGTATATACTTGACAGCTGCTAATAGGGGACTTATAATGTTTTTTTTGTATACACTTAAAACGAAACGGTTCGTTTGTGAGCCAATGAGAAATCTCTCTAGTTAAATCCTGACTTACAGTGACAAATGGTAAAGTGAAGGTCCAGTGTCCAATTTCAGCTGTATTCCGGACCAGTAATAAAACGATTCTCTTCACCTACTCTTCAGTTTTACAGTCCTGTACAAGTAATGATATCAACATTACACTTTTGAAGTTCTGAATACGTACTATGAAATGAGATGGTTAAAGCAAATTCCATACCATAATCAATTCCCGACCAAGTCAAGAGTGTTGTCAAGAGTCATCCAGCCACGAACAACTCTTTTTAGGTCCACCGCAGCCGTTCACCTTTTCCTTGAGATGTACTCGTACTAGACTCGTCAAAGCCAATCCGTCTCTGCACTTTGTATTTGCACAAGCTTTTTTGAAAATCTTCTGATACCCTCTATTGCCTTAGTAAAACTAATACAAAGTCGGTTGACAATCTTAAGTTGCATTTCACTTAACACTTCACCAATTTAAGTTCAAAGGGCTTCATGTATTTGCACCTATGCTTTTTTACTTATATCGTAGAAGTTACTGTTTAACTTAAGGGTAATGTGATCTTGTTAAAATTAGAACTCCTTCAAGTTTCTCACAACAAGAGAACTGTCGAGTGAAACAAGCGCGTTTTTTTTTTTACTTCAAACCAAGTTAGTGAGTTTGAAACTGTTGAGAGGTCTCCTTGAACACACCTAAATCTCGCTCAAAAATCAATTTTAATAGTAAATAATCAGTTTAAATCAAAAATCACATAATAGTGCAGGAATTTAAAGCCCTAACGTGACAAATCCACTGCAAACTCCTAGAAGTGCAAGTTCCACACTAGTTTCAACACTTTTTTAGAGTTTGAAATCTGAGTACAAAAACGTCTTGTTCGATGAAAACAATACACCAATAACTGTCCATTGGCAAAATTTGCTGGGGAGCTATGGCACTGCTTGTGTGGATGCTTCCAAAGAACCCTTACAAATATGCAATTCATTTTACACTATAAAAATCATCGGTACTGATATTTTGCTAAGCAGTCACGCTCAAGACATTTCGCTGTGGCCCAAATAAAAATACAGCTATTAGGACTCTGCATATACAATATAACTAAACAAGAAAAAGGATGAAAAAAAATGGAATGAGTGGCTGAAAAAGCAATCAACGCCTAAAATTACAACAGAAGTTCAAGCCCGTACAAACCCAACAAAGATGCTCTTTAAAAACATATCTCAGAAGAAAGAAAGGAAAAAAAAAGGTCTGAGGAGAAAAGTTAAAAAGTTCACTGGGCAGTATACAAGGTATAATGACATGATAATTCCTTCCAAAAATAATTTTTATTTAAATGGCAGAAATGTTGTAATGAGGAAACGTATTGTATTTACGAGCTTAAAGCACTGCAAAACTGAAAAGCTACTACCCTTCGTTCTGGAACAGAAATCTGCGGCAGCGAACTTCAAAAGACTACAAATCCTAAATTTTGTAATTTGGCTTCATTCACTGCTCTTTTAACAAAAGTTCTGTGCACAAAAACGGCCACTTCTTGAAATTTAGAACTATAATTCTAGCATAAGACTCCGCTCACTCTTTAACACCTTAATATCTGCAAAACAGTACACTTAGACTTCGATCTTTTAATTTAGGAGCCTCTGAATGTGAAATGTTCTCCTGTTACAGCACTTTCTTTTCGATTTAAACCTAATAAACCGTTAACTTTCATAATGAACCTCACAATTCATCCTCAGACTCCTGATCACTAGGAATAACTTCCAGCTGCAAATCTTCTCCATCTTGCAGTTTGGTATACCCATCTTCCCTAACTCTCTCCAGCAACCCGTTTTTCTTTGACCCCCTTTTTTTCATTTCGTCTGTGGCCATTAAAGTCTCAGAAAGCTTTTCGACAGCAATAACTCGTGTAACCTCACGAACTGTGCGCGTCAATATCAACAAAGTCAAAAATGCACAACCAACGAGGAATGCTATAAAGCCAAAGAGGCAAGTAAGCGAAGAGAACTCTAAGGTTATAAAAGAAGCTAGGAAGGGGACCAAGGCACGTCCGAAAGATGAAGCTGCACTGTTATCAAAACATAGCGTCGGCCAGTCTTTAGTCTTTTGTACTTCCAACCAATTAAGAACACATGGAACTACCGGCAAGACAAAGCTACCTGTAACCAGAAAATTGATGTAGTCGCAGCAAAACAGGATAAATTAATTTTTCTAGACGACGCCTTTTCTGGCAATGGAAGAACCCAGAGCATCAGTTTTAGGGAAAATAAGCGTTTGTAAACCTTAAAGTATCTCAAAAATTCGAAGGTAGCCCGTAATTTTAAAAAATATGCTACAGCTGAATTTTAAAAATTTCTAGTTCACTTATACACAACAAACAGTTGAGACTTAGCGCTCTTAGAAGGAATATTATTACTTATTGTCGCTCTCTTTCTGGCCCTAAAAACCAATATTTGATACATAAGTATATTTTAAGAATTAAGGAAAATTTCACAGCAGCCGCTGGATTATTTTATCTTAGAAGTCAAGATCCTTACACAACAAAAACACAATTACACCTACCTAATAAAAAGACTTCAATACCAAGTGCTACAACAGAGGAGTGAGAAAACATGGCTATAAAGCACGAAATGACTGAAGTCGCTAAAAGAAGGAATTGCATAAGCTGTACCGAACTCGCCAGTTTTGCACTGAAAAAGTAAAATTTTCCATTAGAGGAAATCAATATAATAAAAAGGATAAAATAAAATGAATCTCATTTCAAGACTTTAAACTCGCTCACTTTTAAAGGAGCTAAAACTAGTTCATGCTCAATACAGACATAATTAAAGTACATAAATGCCCACACTAAATCGTACTAAATAAGCACTGGGATACCTGAAGCAAAAACAGAGTCTTGAAATTAATCCGCCGGCCCAAAATAATGATATCACCAAGTAAACTTTCGTTTGAATTGCATTACCATCGAAAAACTCGGAAGAACGAAGAGGCATTACAACGCCACAAGTTGCTTCCACACCACCCAGGAGGAGAAATAATACCCTTGCAAGCCACTGCCATAAATCCGTTTTATCGTCTAAACCATTCCTCAAATTCAACGCAGATCCAGACTGAAAAAACTTTAGACTGCAAGCACAGATTAATTTAGCAAAAGACAACAAGTGTTACTACGAATAAACAGCAGAAAACAAAAATAACAAAAAATTAATTAAATTTTATACTCTTAACGGCAAGGCTTCAAACGGTTGTCCATAACAGCAGAATAACAATAACGAGAAAGAAACAACGCTCAAACAGCTCAATAATCCAACAAATCCGTATGCTAGCTTTACACCTGGTAACCTAGTGACCTACAAGTATAAGGGTTTTGTTAAAAAAGAAAAAATCAAGCAGTTATCTTACAAAACTCCAACCATTAACTGTCAAAACTGAATGTAAAAGATAAAAAAAAGCAAAATGCGGTGAAATCCCTTAAAAAGGTAAGTTACTGTTTAAAAAAAATATTTGGAAAATTTACTTCAAAGCAGAAATCTTAAAACATTTTAACTAACTATACATGAATAACCACAAAGAATAAAAAACCTGGTCTTTAATTGAGTCCCATGTAGCATTTTCTGCTAGTAGTTTTCTTTCTCCAACAACAAAACCCTCTTTACCATGAACCCCTTTTGATATAACAGCACTGTTTTCAGAAATGTTATTTCTTCTAGCAGTATAACCTGGTAAATCAAGTATAGATTTATTTCCCTGTCCAAACAACTCATTAAGGGAAGACTTTTGAACAGAAGAGGGCAGCAATCTTGAAGCAGAACTGTTACCGCTGCAAATATAACGTATCAACTTAAAAACACAACAGGATTCTTCCAGGTCAAAATCAGTTAGACACACAAATTGGGTTGGAAAGCTTAAACCTCATTTGGCCCCACGCCTTCTTACGACAGAAGTTTACGGTAGTCTGCACAAAATAAATTACTAGTGCAACAGGCAACTGGATGAGAAAAACAAATAAATGATGCATGGAGACTACGAGGCCCGAAAAAGTGCAAATTAAGAACTTTTTGAGAAGTTACGAAAGCCATAAAAAGCAAAAAAGTTACCTCCTTAAACTAGCAGTAGAAAAATAAGTTACTGCTCGAAGACCTTTGTGGACCTGAGAAAATGGTGAGTTATAAAAATAGCCTGTTGAAGATTGTTCTACTGCATTTGAAACGGGAGAATTAACAAAGAATATGCACGTTAAAGGAGCAATCATAGAACCAAAAGCTAAAGAAGCGTGCACGAACAACAGAGTGCGCATTCCATGGTCATTTCCGCGAACTATTACTAAGCCGACTGTAATAAAAAAAAATTGATAATACTCCAAAAACTACAGCCAACTCCTAAAACATGAAAAAAATCTGATCTTTGACAGTGCATTAAGGCAAAATTAGCTACTTCTGCTGCAAAAAAATCTTCTACAGACAAAGAGTAACATTCCTTACAAACTGAAAAATTACTTATCAAACTGAACATTTCAAATTAATCCTAAGATTTACCTTGATGCACGCATCCTAGAAATACGCCGAGGAAGAATGAATAAATATAGGCGGCATAGAGCTTGGCACACCACGCAATAGCCACGGTGAGAGGAATAGAACAAGTTGTAGTAAAAATTAGAAACAAATATTGGTTATAGTGACCGCATAAATGTTTCACTGAAAAAACTATTAAGGATGTGTAGCAGAATCTTTTCTCCCGAACGACCTACACTTGTATTTCTGTTCAAATTAAAATTACACCTATTTCAAAAAAAAACTCCAATATTTTTCTTTCTTTAAACACATAGCCTCAAACTCCTTAGACCACCTGTTGAGATATGCGGCAACAATTAATTTTTTTACGTGATTAGCTCGTTACTAAACTGAAGCTTTTATGTAAAAAAAGCCTCTGATACTAACGCAATTTTCTGGCTATTTTATCATATAAACCCTTTTCAGAAGTTATACGCTCCAAGACAACCATACATGATATGGCGCTTTGAGGCGCCAGTTCACAGCAGGCGAAAATGCAATTGACTTCTTAAGGAAGGTTTCTAACTGATACTCAGAGGTCTACGTAACTTTCAAAAAAACGAAGTAAAAGAGGCAAAGTGATTAAGTGCGCTGACAACAATTTTCCCAAAGCCTTGAGGTTCTGCTGAGAAAGAGAAGCGTGTTTGACTTTGAAAAAAAAGGAAAAAATCCCTAATTTGTTCCCCAGCAGTGTCGGCTCCAAGTGTTTAAGGTTTTGATTACGGCCAAAGATGAGTTAAATATCTCCAAAAAAAAAAACAGTCCTCGCAACTCTTTTTACCGCTGATTCTTGAATGTTTTGCGTCATACTGATCAAATGCACAACTGAGCTAAATAATTTTTGCATAGCTATAAAGCTAACAACGCTAAAAAACCTCTTGCCAACCAAACATAACGCATATAACCAGTGTTTTGCAAATCCTAAACAATTTTCTAGCGTAAAGTATTACCGTGTCGGCTGCGTATAAAAAAATGATGTTACTTTCTTTAATAAAAATCTCCAAAACAAAAAAGTTAATAAATAATACACTTCTGAAAAGCTGCTCAAAAATGAAAAAAAAGAAGTTCTGTCAAAGCAAGAAGTTAATTGAAGGTGGAAAAAATTACACGAAAAATTGCCCACGACACATCCGAAACCGTTGATAAGAAGAATAAAGAGTAGAGACGTAGGACGTGAAGACTTAGTTGCATCCCCGATCTCTGGCAAAGTTACATATATTGTAGCACTCAACAAACCCTAAAAAGTTACAGTTTAGGAAAACAGCAGAATAATCCCAGAGAAAAAAATAGCGGAAAAGTTGACCACTGTAGAGTACGATGGTTCTTGATGAATAAATTAATTACTACACGAGCTACAAGTATAATCAATGACAGGACCAAACAATACGTGTAAAGATCAGTAGAACTGCTCGTTCCATACGAAAAAGTACATGTCTAACTAACCAAAACAAGAAAAGAAAGAGTTGGCAAGGTGTTGCGAGCAGGTAAAGTTAAACAACTTTTGTCTTTCTTCGTACCAGCACCACGGCTTAACAGAGAACTCTACAAAAACTTGAGCATTAACGAAAGATTGAAAAAGACGCCGTTTTATCCACGGAATAGCTGAAAACCGCAGATGACCATTATTTTAACAGCGCCCCAACCATGAAACCTTCACGGATATAATAGGATAATTAATTAAGAACAACAAATAAAATGTTACCTTATCGTATAGCACATCAAAATCACTGTCTTCATCGTCCGTAATACTACTACTTAAAGCAGCAGAAGAGTCAGCTCTGTCTTCAACACCACTAATTCTTCTTTTACTTTTTGCTTTCGAGGTTAGTACTAAATAAACTTATGTATTATAAGAATAAAAAAGTGCTTGAAGTCCAGTAACATTCATTTCGCCACTTTATTATTCCAAAATGACAAAAATAACGCAGTTGATTACGATATAAATTCAACTACTCAACTTCGACAAGCACTTGAAAAATCTTATCAGAAACCAATAAACCTTTATAAAAACAAAAATTTGAATTTTACTTCCAAGTTTAAAGAGTATTTCCGAGTCTTCATTCACATTCATTAGCGGCCTGTTCTGCGACATAGTTAGTTGCAGCCTTCCTCATTCAGCAACAGTAACGAACGAATAGCCTCTGAGGATAAATCTACATTTGCTAGTCTGATCTACAAGGAACTGAGAAAGACACAAGTATTCAACACTCACAGATGTTTTAAAAACAGTCGAATTCGTAACGATCAATAAAGGTCTTCAACAAAACTTGAATCAAAAAATCTTCCAACAGATATCGGTACACCAAGCCAG